AGGGGTTGAGAAGGGCAGAGCCGCTAGTTGGCTTATCTGTAGTCGCTGCACTCTATTATCACACTGGGGCATAGATTTAATTTCAGGGGTGGGTAACGGAAATAAAATGGAACACCTCAATATCAAAATTGGAACGAAATGAGTTCAACATTTCTTTTGTAAAATGATTTACATACGTTTTCTTTTTAATATTTAGCAGTAACGTTGATGCGTTGACATAGTCAATAGAGTGAATCGCACTAGAACAGTCTGGTATGTTCTAAAAAGAACATCGCTGCAGTGTAATGCAGCCTTCAATTAGACAACACTTATGCCTTAATGCAATGTTACAATATCCAAAATCTAAGACAATATCAAGTCTCATATTACAATATTGATAAATTATCAATAGCTCAGTGCTTTAAGGGAAACAGTGGAGAATATCAGAGAGAAAGCGTGCCTTTATTTGAGCTTCAGCTGCACACATAAGTAGTACCATATATTTTATTCATTGTATTACAGAATAAAGTGAAGTCAGTCGGAATCTATTACCTTCTCATATCTTGAGATGCTTTTTTACAGTTCAGGCACATATGGCTGCAGTCTATCTTATTATGTTCCTCAAAAATATTATTGACCACCTGGCACACATCCCGTCTCAACTTCAGGCTGATATCAAGACGTGCAAATTCTCAGGTCTTCACACCTTTGAAGGTAGGAACGAAAATCGGATAATTTCTGTCTGAAGCATTTCAAGGCGAGAACAATCCTAATGTTTAAGGTTTCAACAACCAAATTTAAAATATTTGACAGTGAATATTAATCATCCAGCAGACACTATTTTGAAGAGGCAACAGGTTTATCTCTCACTCATGAGCTGTAGTTAGTATGCATAACTATCATAACGCCATTTAGGATTGAATCATTTATCGCTTCTTAACAGAAATATCTGAATATACTGTGATTTTATTTACAATGTCAACTTTTTTTACTATATTTCCAAATGGCTACTTAGATATGATTAAAGATCTCTTTTAATTGACCAAATGACTCCATGCAAAGCAAAAAGCATAGTGATGAACCCCCAAAAGGTTAATTTGACATTCCAATGTCCCCCAGCTTGTTTTGTTTAGATCTACTACTTTGGTCAAGGCTCATTGTGTCAGGGATGCGGGTGGGAGGCAGGACTCAAACGCAGACTTGTCAGGAAAAAAAAAAGACTTTAATAGTCAAAAAGCCAAAAACACAGGAACCGGGAGGAAAAACAGCAGGCAAGAAACTACGAGCGACAAGCGACAAGAACATGCGTGACGAAAGACAATGACGCGACAAGTGACACACGGCTTAAATACACAAGGGAGGTGCAGGTGATTGGACACAGGTGGAAACTATTAGACAATCACAGGGATGACGGGACAAGGCAGGAAGTGAAGTTACCTGGGGACACGAGTGGCAGAAAACTACAAAATACAACAGGAAGTGAACCACACCGTGACACATTGCTCATGTTAACCTTCTTCCATGCTGCCTTTGGTGAAATAAACTCTGAGAAACGGACCGTACGTAATCTGCTTAACACAAATGTCCGACAGGGCCCATTACTGACCTGCTGGTGGACATTGAGGAGCTAAAGATTTATATATTCTCCTCCATACTTTAATGGGGGACCAAAACAGATCGAGATGCAGAGTGGAGAGTGAACATTCATCCGACTGTCAGGATTATGTTATGACCACAATTCCTTTGGACGTTGGGCTACAATATTGTCACATTTCTCTACTTTTTAGGAAGTAAATTACATTACATGTCATTTAGCTGACGCTTTTATCCAAAGTGACTTAGAATAAGTGCATTCAACCATAGGGGTACAAACTCGGAAGAACAAGAAACAAGAAAGGGCAATTTCCTCAAATAAGCCAATTTACAATTTGTTAGTCTTTTAGTCGAGGTAGAGTCTGAAGAGGTGTGTCTCTAGTTTGCGGCGGAAGATGTGAAGGCTCTCTGTGGTCCTGGTGTCTTCAGAGAGCTCGTTACACCATTTCGGAGCAAGGACAGCAAAGAGTCGTGATCCAGCCGAGTGTTTTGCTCTCAGTGAAGGAGGATCGAGCAGTTTTGCAGATGCAGAGTGGAGAGTGCAGGTCGGAATGTAGGGTTTGACCATGTCCTGGATGTAGACTGGACCCGATCCATGAATTAGCTCAGTATGCTAGTACTCACTAGTCAGGGTGGTGTCTACAAAGTGTCAATCAGCTCACTGTGGCATTTTGTGGCTGTAATTGTGTAAGTGCCTCTGGGGGAGGGGTGTTTGCTCTAAAAAAGGCCTCCCTAGGGGGAAGTCCAGTACCAAGAGAGCTCCTGTGAGGCCCCTCGGGACCATGGGGGGGGGGGGCGGGGGGAAGGTAAAGGCCAGTGAACAATTGGTGAATAGTGGGCAGTCATCACCGTCCAGCTGCTCCCCGTCCCGGCGCTCTCCCACTTGGGGACCTTACCGTGTCCTTTTTACTGTACAGCTGCTGGCAACTGTAACATCAGCTCATGCGCGGTGAGATTAATGCCTCCATTTGTACACTCAAAACACATGTTTGTGTATTACTGTAGGAGCTGTGTTGTGTCTTTTTTCCTGCAAACAAACGGTACAACTAGAGGCAGAAAGGAAAAACAACAACTGTGCAAGACAGATTTGTGCATGTGCACTCATGCAGACGCACAAACACACAGATATGCATGGACGGACAGATTACAGGCACAAACAGATGTCTGCAGACGTACGCCTACATGCTTAACACACATACGCATGAACACACACACACACACACACTTGCATAAAAATACAGACGTGAGTGGACAAACGTGAACTTACTCTTACATATGGAGTGTGGCTCTGCAAAGAAATATGCAAAGGTGTTTTCAACTGATGGAGGCCCTCGTCAGGGACCGAAAGAGCGTTGTTCTACCAATAGGCGCTACTGGGCATGTGCAAATCCATGAACGCAGCTACGAGAAGATGGACAGGAGGTGTTATGTTTATTAGATCAAATATTTTGTCTGCATTGTATGATCATTCCCCTTGTTTTGTTTTGTTTGGTTAAAAAATGTTTTTCATATTAATTGCATCCTCTTTGCCAAAGAGGATGCAATTAGGCTGAAGCTAATTCAGCTGCCATGTGCCATTATCTATTGTATGTTGAAGCAGAAAAGAGGTCTGAAAACAAGCTCCATTGACATTTTTGATGATACATAAAGAATCACTAAAATTGACATTTTAATTAGAGATCTCGAAACAACTAAAAATGTTTTGTTTCGACAGAACATTTCAACAACAGTTCAGCCAAACAATTGAAAACCTCCTGTTGCTCTGGTGTTTGATAATCACTATCACTTCTTTCCGTAGTACATTTGCTCTTATTGGAAGGGATTGTTGAATAGTTTTTGTCCGGGATTGCAGTGGGTTTTAATCATGCTTTTTCATTGGGAGTGAAATCATGTTGCAGCTACTAAAAAGTAATGAAGTTTGAGAGGAAAGCAGTGAGACATTTAAACTGACACACATCAGGAGTCCTCCCTGTACTTGGATGCAGTGTTTACAGCAATTAGCCAGAGGAATCGATTTCAATTCCTTCTTGAAAAACGAGACGGGGAAGATGAAACGAACAGGAACTGTGTGGTGTCGGTAAATACGAGTAGTGGTAGTGTGTTGCCATGTTGCAGGTGCAACGATCCAGTGGTAAATAGCAAGAGGTTTCAACACCCTTGAGCGACATGTGATTGTTGCGTTGGATTTGAAGGCATCATTTGGTAGAGGCTGCGGTGAATGGAAAGGACAAGGGGACGGGAGTGAATAAATCCAAGGGGTAGACCCTAAGATTTCAAACGTAGGGCAAAATACGAAGGCATATTGGGATGGGATGAAGCAAAGAAAGAAGCATGGACAGCATGACATTTCTCTTTGTGTGTCTTGATGTTTTACCTGCACAGCAATTCTCCCACTTATTACTGTTGACCTAAATCAGCAGTCAGCCACCTGTTCACCGAAGCTACCTCAGTTGTTTTTCCTCAAATAAGGTCAGGGACGAACCACCAAAAGCATCATATTAAATCCAAAACCGAACCCCTGGAGTTAATTATAAATATTTGATTACCTACATCTTGCAATATCAAGTCATACTAGCATCATAGCATGAAATATCCAGTGAGAGGAGAAGATCATGGATGATGTATTTGCTTAAGATATACAAACACAAGTCTTTTCTGTGTTTATTTTCTTATTATCAACTCGCAACCTACCTTTTTATGACATATTCAATGTTTGTATTTTAATGTACCTGCCAAGTAGATTCAGTGAAAAGTGCATGTTGCTATCAAAAGGATAATTCAAAAGATTTGGCTAAATTCAATTTTTGGTGTCTGGCTTCCAACTTGTGAACTCAGTATTTGTGTCATTAGTACCAAACTGTCACCTTTAATTGTTGGAATGCTGCCTCAGCTACATCAGGACATTAGCTGCCATGACTTTCCAGCTTTCTACCTCTTGTGCTTGAATTTATATAAATCAAATTCATAAACCTTTTTAACACGGTTTTCCAATGGAGTAATATTTTTTTAATGCAACATGAATACACACATGTAATGTTTCTTTTGGTTTAAACAGACATTGGGGCCAACTGCTGTTTTCCCCCTATTTAGTATATGGTAGGCCTTTTAATAAGCCAATTGCATGGGCCTACAACTACCATTAATTTCACTACACATACTACTATGACCAATAGTGTCATGTCTGTATTTTCAGCAAATTGTCTAGATTAATTTCCGCTTATCTCTTTTCTGCATTTTTAGCAATTCTTTTGATATTAATGTCTACATGGATTATTCATGCAATAGGTCGTGGAGTTTTGTGATCTGCTTCAGGCTGAAAGACGCCACGTCGCTGTGATATTATCACAACATCCCACTGTCTGAAGTGAGCTATTGCTTTTGTAAAATCGTCCTCACATATGGTATCATGAAAGTTATAGAAACATTCAAGTTTTTTGTAGTCATTTATTAATAAATAACAATGTTCACATTAAAATAGGCCCTCTGGCCGGCTGCACATCTAGAGGCATACTGCTATGGAATGTACGCCGGCAACTATTTTTCCAAGACAGATGCGTTTTATTCATTTCATTATTTGGATTATTTGCATGTTGCCATTAACTTTACAACAACTAGAAAACGTCAGAGTGGGATGATAATTGCTTTCATTGTTAAGATGGAGGTGAGTTGCTTGCAAGTAGCTCCACTAAAAGGTTTCACACCTACGACCATAGTCTCTTTTGTCCAGATGTGCATCAGCATTTTTTTGGGATGGTAGCTCTGCGGGGCCACTGGTTCGGGTATTTCTGCTGCATTCCATATTTTGGGAAACATTGTCAAACCTCACCTACATTTGTCAAATACAAATTACAGAATTACGTAGATGTCTCAACATGGTATGTGAGCATTATATCGGCTGTGAACCAAGCAGACTTTTTCTATGTATCTAAATTCAGCTTTCTGGGTTTTAGATACTTGCGTTGTCCTTTAAGCTTGCCATTTTTTAAAATTGGATTCTAATTTGACTAACCGTCCTTTTACAATTTGCTGATCCTTGACAGCGCTGTTAGTTCTCCACCTCACATTTAACAGCACAACAGAAAGATAATCATATCATCCTGTGTTATCAGGCTCAAATTATTCAGACCTCAGTAGGGTTAATTGTTTCTTTCCAGCAGACAAAGACAAAATGTCAACCGTGAAACAGTAGAGGGTTGAGGGTGAATGTCAGCAGAAATTAGCCACTTAAAGACGTCACTTTACCTTCTGTATGTCAACAGAAACAAGTGGAACTGACAGCTCTTTGTGCTACTCCATTTCATAATTCCATTATCGTGTTTGCTGCCTGCCTGTATGTGCTGCAGAGTAGATAATGCAAAAAAATAATTGAAGTCGTCGTACAAGATACATTTTCATTTGATCACACATGGTGCTTGTGCCGTATAATGCGGCACGGCTTCAGGGGTTGAAATGTTTCTTTTGGACTGAAACAACTAAATTGTCCAGAAAAGGTAAGGTGGCGGATGAGCTGTTGGTGAGACCGATCAGTTAAAGAGGAGATCTTCAGTCATAAATTAGGTAATTAAGCTGTAAATCCATTTATGTTGTCGTTTTAAATAACGCACTACGAATTACCCCGGAGGTCACTTTTAGTGGAGAGGAAATACTTCAGCCACACCGAACAAAGCATTGGACATGTGTAAACATGATGATCTGGGAACTTTTTATTTGCATCACCTCTGGTCCTCTTGAAAATTCACTGACACGTCCCCACAACATAAAAAATACCGAATCATTCATAACTGTCTAATTCCCAACGGGCTCCGTACTGCAGTTGGCATCACTAGATGAGTCAAATGATTCACTTCCCTCGGCGCCACAAACACTCAGAGCCCCGCAGCGACGACACAGCGAGAAACAAAAGGCTATTACGCTCACAAACACATAGTACAGCAGCTACAGGTAAGAAAGTTACTGCTCTTCTGATTTCTCTCCACTCCGAGAGCTCGTCTTTGCTGATCAGGATCCAGGAGTGTGTCTAAAAACGCCCACTGAAGCTTTTAGCAATGACCGATAAAGTGGCATGAGATATTTTGAGCGAGGGCAACCATCTTGATGGACGGGACAATGAATGATTAGGTCTATCTTTTGTTGTTTGTCTGTTTGCCTCGTCCTTTGAAGACATTTTCTGCTGGACACGTGAGAATCGTAATATTTATGTCGTGGATCTCTGAGCAAAAAGGAGCTCTGCTCTGTCCCTCTACAATCCCTGTATCTGTCAGAAAAGGGGGTTTCTCTTTCGGGCTCGTGAAGAGAGTGATGTTAAAGCCCCATATTCTCCAGAGGCCGCCCAATCGTTCTGTTTGCTGAAAACAGAGAAGACACAAAGTTCACTGGTTTACTCCAACCAGTTTTCTCCCTCCCACTATTTCAAATAAGAGCTTCTGTTGTGACAATACAATTCGTCAAGGGGGCTGACCTACTTCATGTCTTTGTATCATACATGTCTGCAGTATGTTTTCACAATAACTCTTGGAAATGGATACAGTTGGAAAGCATAGAGCTGCGTTATTCCACGAAAGCGACACTCTGACTTCATTTCGACTTGACTCGATCGCAACGACAATGTACAAATGTACAGACTGGCCTGGGCCTGCGGAAGTGAGAACACCGGCAGGCGGGACCGGCCCACTTAGACACAAAAATAGAGAAACAGAATCGCTGTTTAGCTGGAGCAGTAATGCCGCACGGTCCAATTTTCCTCTGAACCGACCAGTCCTCCCATCTGCTTGGTACTAGGAAGGTCCTCAGCACGCTCCCCTTCAGTCTTTAGTGTCTATTGTGGAGCAGATGAAGGAGCAACAACAGAAGGCTGAAGGCAGCTTGAAGCCACGCGCTGGGAGGTGAAGCAGAGTTTGAGTGGCTGTTGGACGACAGGGTGGATTGGCCCACTAGTAGTTCATTTCCTAGTGCCTGGTGGGAGAGAAAGAGATCGTTTGAATGTCCCACTCGTCTTTGGATAGTCCAACCGTGATGATCTGCTATTACTGAAGTTTGTTCCAAACACATTGTCGTAACTCGGTGTGAGAAGCAGATTTGTGAGGATCTTTCTCGTTCGTTCAGCTCAGAAAGGTCAGTGTTTCCTGTGTGTCACTTGTGTAAGATTAGATGACCGTGGCCATACAGCCAAACAATGAATCTGTGTTTTGTTAGCCAAGACATATACATATATATACATATACACAGACAATATACTGTATATATACAGTATATCCATCCATCCATCCATTGTCAAACCGCTTATCCTGCACACAGGGTCGCGGGGGGGCTGGAGTACATATGTGTACTATGGCTGAAAATATTTTGTTCTGATTTGGTTCCTTCATTTCCTGACTGGTATGTGTCAACACGTTGTATGTTTTCAGCTAATGTTATGAATACATGTGTGAATTTATGAATAAAGCACTTCCAGCTATATACCGATCATGTTTCCATTCCAATATAGAGTACTTGGATGCTCTTCAATTCACATTTTTATCTGAGAAAATGTAGTAGGTGCTTGTGCTTGTGTATCATGGTATGTTGATATATGATCATACTATAATATTATTCCATTGAAAGACAATAAATGACCATGTTGAATAGTGGCCTAGCTCTAATATATGTAGGTATGTTTTTTTGTGAGTAAAAGTGAAGCTAGGAACAATTGATCGTCACTTAGTAATGAAGGTGGGCTTTCTGTTTCTTCTTCTGCGGCATACAAATGTGGATGGAGGGGAATGTTTTACCCACGGCATGACAGTTTGAAATAGTGAGCTGACCTCAGGGTTATATATATATATATATATATATATATATATATATATATATATATATGGATACAAGTGTATATTTTGATTTTACCTCTTTGCGTTGAGACAGAACCTAAAGAAGAATAATTAAGCTTGTATGTGTGGGAAATGAAAACGTATAACCCCGAGCGGTAGTAGGTTCCGGGAATGTGACAAGAATATTGTTCCCACGTATCCGGCAGCGTCCTGTGAACTTTGTGCTATAATGAGTTCCTAGCTTCTGTATTTTGTGTTAATAGTAAGAATTTACTACATGCGTCTGATTCTTTTTTAGTAGATATGCAAATATAGTATAGGGTACAGATCGGTACTAGACCACCTCCTTACGTAATACAGGTGTGTGAATGAGAATTAAGATATTGTATGGGTATTGCAGCAAATGTGTCTCCGAGCAACAGACATTTAAATCTGTGCGTGGCTCTCCCTCACTTATTGAAGCACTATCGCCAGCATTGAGAACTTTAAATGTCAATTAAAAGTGGTAGTATACTGGACGGCAGACAACAGTTTGTGCCGCTGTTGGAAACACAGAGTGATACATGAGAATTGAAAAAAAATATGGACCAAATCAATTCACAGAAGAACGATGTCGTCCTTCTACAAACATTTGTCCAGAAAATGGACGAAATAATTAAAACAAAATATAATCATCACATAAAAAAATCCAACTGTAGTGACACTAAAAACAGCAAACCTGTGTTGGTATTATGGAATCCAGAATGTTCTTCATGGTTTCTATGGAGTCGGGTGGAGAGGCGGTGTTCCTGTGTTCTCTGCTGCCGGGGCTGGGGACGGGTGTACTGGACTGGATGACAGTCGGCAGCTGGTCTGACTCACTTCCAAACGCCATGAGAGCATTCCCTAAAACATTCAGAACACCAATTAACACCATAAATATAAAGGCAGTTAACAAACTTCTGCAACGTAATTTTTTCTGTAAGAGTTCCACTCATGTCTGGTTCAATCGCAGCTTCTGAACTGGACATTTTTCATGAGGACCAGAGCTAGTTTGGATTTGGTCAGCAGAGGCGAGTGAGAGAGAGAGAGAGAGAGAGAGAGAGAGAGAGAGAGAGAGAGAGAGAATGTAAAATACTCAGTATTCTCTTCAAGTAGCCCATCCTCTCTGCACCTGCCCCTCCACATCGACCTCATTAACTCACAGCGCGTTTGCACTGGCCAAACAACTCTGAGACCTCTCTCTGTATCTTTCCCACACTGGCCGCTCGAGCAAAAGGCCGGCCAAAGACCCATCTCGCCGCACAGAAGATGCTTATTGTGTGTACAGGTTCAGTGATATGATATGCGCGCGCCGAGCCCTGTTATAAGGACCATTCACTGTTCACACTCCAGAGAAGAGGTCATAACAGAGGACATAACAGAGGACATAACAGAGGACATAACAGAGATGTGAAAAAGAGAATGAGCATTAGAAGCAGAAGACGCAACACGTTACTTCTGGATTAAGGCTGATGTGACAGCAGGAGAGTTACCGGGGTCGGCACGCATATGCCTTCTTATAGGTTACATTATGATGCGTTCAGGGTCTGTTCAGTAAAGATTAGTGTTGGGCCGAGGCGTTACAGCTTGTAAAATGTGGTGCTGGTGAGAAACGAAGAAATCCAGTTGTTTAAATATGATTTTTTTAAACCAACATGAATAAATATTTGAGATGGATTATGAGCAGATTAACTTCCCAGCTCCAAGCAGCTAATAATGCAGCATTAGCACTGCTACTGACAGGATTTGTTTTCATGCAAAAATAGAATCTTTGATTTCCTAATTGTTTAGAATTGTGAATTTGTTATGAATGATAAATATGACATTGATATATGACATCCAGCTTACAAAGGATAACAATATGGATCAGCAGTGATCTGCAATTAGTAGCAAAGGGTGAAAAAAGATGCGCGATACAATCTGAGCCATGAATTTTATAATGGGTTGCACCAGTAGTTACAGAGTGAGTATTTTAATCAAACCTTCAGAAACATACCATTTGCCACACTGACCTTTAACCTCGCAATTACCTTGTGTAACCATGGTTACATTGATTCTCTTAATGGGGGCCTGTCACCCTTTTCATGAGCTGAGTATTCTCTTTGTGAGTCTTAGGTACAACCTTTCCACCTCCCGCTATGCTGCTGAAATGTGTCAAGGAGGGTCCAATACAATAGTATTTTCAAGGTTGAAAAACAGTATATTAGGTATCTATCAATCCATAATTTCCTCTATTGTCTATTTTCTACTGATGTGAAAAGATCTCCTTCAATCTGTACGGAACGTGGATCAACCATGGCTGGTCGGGCCAATGTGTATTAATATTTCATCAAATAAAATCATGTTTCGATCTTTGATCAAGGGCGTTATTTCTTCCAGCATTTGATGACTTTATAGAATATGTTGTATTGTTGTAGATACCCAACAACAGTGAATGAATTAGCACAACCATAAACCGCAGTAAAAAGCAGCATTGGCAACAAAACATATAGTCCCTGGGAAGATTAGACTTCTGCTTTATAGCTGCTTTTACTTTTGGTAATAATACTTGCTTTTAATTGGGCAGTATGGTATGTTTTCTTAAGGATCTTAAGCTAAGGGGTATGCTAACATGCATAGATCACGACACATAGAACCCGCCGAGTTTAGGTATGCCCCTCCAATCCTGAGTCTGAATTAACAAAATTCCAAAGTATTGGTAAGAGCCAGAGTTAACGGATCTTGTTTCTTTACTTTGGGAGTCCCAAGTGAGGCAGGTAATACCCGCAAATCATTTAAAAACATCTGAAGAACAACGGTTACGTAAATCTGCTGTTTGTTTTATAGTCTGATCAGCTATTTGTTCAGTTGCAAATGCATTTGAAAGGTTTTTGAACTTGCTGCTGCTCATGCAAGAGCGTTAAGGCAATGTTGACCCTTTTCTTAATTAATCGGTAATTAGCCAATAAGAGACACTGTGTGGTCTCGCTCAGCTAAACACACTGACACTCCTTCTTCACGCTAGTCGGATTGTTGCTGAGCTGAAGGCTTCTGACAACGTTCTCTTCGCCTCACTCGTTCAGCTGACTACAGCAGCTTGCATAACAGACACTCATGTCATTACTGACATGTGAACTAATCACAGAACCACATATTTTCTGCATTTTGAAAGTAAAGACAATATTTTGGCCCGGGGAGGGGTTTACTGTTGGCCGAGCAGCCGGACTGTGACATTTACCCTTGTGTTGTTTTGCTGGTGGTTATTGAGCCAGGTGACATAGAGAATCTCACTTATGTGCAGTATGAGGAGGTGAGGAGCGATGAGATTTGTTTGCCTGTGTTCTGTTTTTATTGTTGTATTTCCCCGCGTCTCATGCAGTTTTATTGGCAGCTAAATGAAAAAGTTTTTCATCTTCTATTGACAAATAGACCAACAATTAGATTTTGGATCCTGAGGTACTTTATGACTTTGGTGATTAGCTGACATTACACATAGTAAAGTCAGACAATTTGAATAGCGCTTTTTAAAGGATTTACAAGGAATATTTGATTTATTAGAAACTTCAGTGACGTGTCAGTAACAACCTGAGAAGGAATTTTATAAACAGCGTGAAGCAAATGATTAATAGAAAGAGAGGACGAAATGAGTGAGTTAATGGCAGAGTGACAGACAGTTAGAAAGAGAGAGAGAGCATGTTGTTGAATCTAGATTCATCTCACTCTGCGGCTGCTCGAGCATGCTGGGAAACATCTGTTCCGCTGCATCCCAGGGGCTCTTTCCTGTCGCTTTTGTCTATCACAGAACTTGGGTACTTTGATTTCTATGTCAATGTTGGTTTTATGTCCCTTGTTGCAGGTCATCACTGCAAATTATTCTGATCGGGGAACGATTTTTCTGTATTTCGTGTCATATCTGAATGACTCAGGTTGTACCGGCAGCGTAGGGAATTTATAGGAAACCGTAGAAATGCAAACAAGCACCTCAGGTATTTGTGGAGCGTCCTTGTTTTAACTCTAGAGTGATGGGTTTGTTATGCTCCAATGACCTGCTATATTTACAATCAGAGTAATCACATGTTTATTTTTTAATTCGTTTTATGTAAATCCATGGCTTCCCGTGTCGCATGAACACAACGGGCTGCTTGGTGGCTTATGTTTCTGGTTTGGACAGCATCTTTAAATAGTGGAAAATTGTCCGGACAATTTTCCATTTGTTACAAACCCCGGCCAAGAAACTGTGACATTGCCTCCTGTGAAACTGCAAAATATCCCATTGTACACTTTGGTTTTGTGTGGATCACCACATAAACCATATGCAATTAGTTAGTATAAGGATGCTGGTAGGTGGATTTACTTTATTCCCCTGCCGATGGCTTCGCCGTACGCAAAGCTTCGATGAGAGGAGTCGAAAGTCACGTATACAATCCATTCATAGGGAACTGATACGTAGGTCAACACACATTCAAGCTGCAATTAAACGCTGAATTGTAAAATGTAACCGTTAGTGTGATAAAAAGTTGTGATCTGACTCAAATAATGAGTAATAGGATTGAAGACAAACGGCTTGCCGTTGTCTGATGATGCAGTTTGTCTCCTGGGAGCTGAATAGAAACTGTCACAGTACACTTATATAATGTTTGGTACCTCACCGCCGTTGGCCTAGTTTTCCTGTCAAGAGACCTTTTTTTGAATTGTCAGGCATGCATCATGAATCAGACAAAAAAACACCATAAAGACTGTGAAAAGATAAATGAAACTCATAACAGCGCTTCACTTGATCAGCATTTAAATCCCCCACACCCTCCCTCCCTCTCTCCCATTCCAGTTCATTGAGTGAGACTCATTTAGTGAGACTCACGGAGACAGACGTTGTCATTGAAGTGTCCCAGGAAGCGATCACAGTCTTCCCTCCGGCTCCCGCTGGCCGAGCAGGAGCACCACGGAGCCACGCTGGACGTCGAGTTGTCCCCATAGTTGGGAGTTATTGTGCTTCCTGTGGAGAGAGCACACCGGGCCTCAATCACTATTATAAATTATTAATATATATATATTCATTTTCCTTTTGAGTTGTTGCACTGAAGGGCTCTGCGATCGGAAACATTAATGGACACTGTATTTCCTATACTGATGCACAGGGTTAATATAATAATAACAATACCATAGTATTGATCTACCAGACTCGCACTGTGCACCGACCCGTCTGATACAATAAAGATATTCCGGCAAATACTCCAGTTTTCGTTTTTCTAGGTCAAAGTCATGGTCTCTGGTGTTGCGATTTTTTATTTCTATATCTGTTTGTCTACTTCACCATTCTGGAAGTGTGGTTTCATGTGCTTTAATACATACAAGACAGGAATAAAAATGCTGTGTGTGTTTGTGCTAAGGGGCACCAATTGAGGTTTTTGTGAAATGCATTCTGTCAGCCTCTCTCTCCAGAGTGGGAAAAAGAAGTCGATGTTCTTTTCCGGATTGTTATAAAACAAATAAAACACAGCCTGCATTGTGTACGCAGCCTTTGTTTTTCTGTCTTGAGATATTTTTAATTTTCAAAACCGTGCTGAACTTTTGTCCTTTGCTTTAAAATTAGAAGTTTAATTCTACTCTCCCACTCACTCTTCAACTGTTTTTTCTTTATTAATTCTCCCTTTCGCTGGCTCTCACCCATTCCAGCCTGCCTGCTGCTGCTGCACAATTTCCCATTTCCTTCTCGAACACAGCATATGGTGCATAACTTCCTTTAGATCTCTCTTTTTTTTCCATCTGTCCGCTTCACTTTCTGTTTCCTCTCTGTGCTTCCGCTCGGTCTATTCCCTCCCAGTTGTGCACCTACCTATGAGGCCTGTGTAGGCGAGGAGACAGGCTCCGTAGTTCCCTTGCTTGCAGCCATTGGCAGACGTTTCGGATGGTTCGCAGTCGTACTGAAACTGTGCCAGGCGAGACCTATGAGCAACGGGTTAGTTAGTAGTTAGCAAGAACACGATTACCACCTGTGTTCTAAATACGGTATTTCTGGTCCGACTTCCATTTAATTAGGAGTCAACCCCTCTGGCATAAAGAAATATTGTTGGATGTGGTGAAGACTGAAAGTATTGGACTGTAATGCGAAAGTGATAGAAAGAGTAATATGTTTCATCCAGCAGACCTGGGATCATTAGTGAAGCCCTCTGAGTGTAATGGGGCTGTGAGAAATAATGGCCATGACCAGAGATAGAGCAATGAGCGATAACTCTGATCCATCTGGCTCTTTATCTGTGCTAAATATTTAATGTTTTATTTCGACAGGCTCTCTGGGGTGTTCTAGCCAATGGTGGTAGAAAGCTTTGGGGTAAAAAAGCGTGCTGTTTGGTTGATTGGTTGGCTATTTCTTTGGTTGCAATGAGCCATAATACAGAACAGCGCCATTCCAAATATACCTATATCTGTGGAGGACGTGAATACACTGGGACTGGATCAACATGGGCTCTGCTGATTTAGGATATTTTGACAAAACAATTAGTTAATTAAGCCAAACAAAACTGGGGATTATGATCATATTGCAGCAACATGCTATCGTATCCGTAAAAGAAAGTGAAAGTGAAAAATAACATTAGTATTTGTTCAAATCATGATGAGGAGTCTGACTTGTGAAATAAGCCCCAAAGAGCTCCCTCCTAACCTGCACACGTAGTCCGCGTTGCAGATCCTCATCTGTGTGAGGCAGTTGGGTTTCTCCCCGCTCTCGTAGGAGCAACTGGGCACGATGGTCTGCCTTCGGCGCTCCGCGCAGGCCGTGTCCGTGCAGGGGCAGAAGAGCAGCTCGTGAGTGTAGTCGGCCGGGACGCGATCGAAAAACCTGCGCAGAGCCTTGTTGCATTTAGGCCGGTTGCACAGGCCGGACTTGGCAGTGGGTTTGATGCAAGCCGAGACATAGTCCGTGCGCAGCTTCTGGCACAAGTCGTCCACGTTGCAGGCCTTGGCCGCATCCAGGCAGCGATTCACAGTTGTCATGCCAACATCCAAGTCTGCGGAGAGAAGTAAGGTCGAAGACAAGCGTGGATATCAGTGGAAAAATAACACCAACAGAGCGAATGGGTTTCGTGTTTAAGTGCGTGCGGGCTTATGTGACCTGTGTTGTGTGCTGTACGGATTATTTATTCAACGTGCTGAGATGTGTCTTGTTTTGATAGAGGTTCAAAACTTGGGATTCGGTGGTTTGGAATTAAATATCAGCTTTAATGTGAAAAGTGTCAGTTAATAAACAATAGTGGCTCATTTTGTGAGGATCAGAATAAGCGAGTGATTATCTATACTTAACTGTTAAACTACGTGCCATTTATTTGACAATACAGACTGCTAATGTCCGCTGTAAATCTGTCTCATTCTTCCTCTGACGTTCGGTCCCAGCGGGGGCCCCAGAAGAGGAGGCACTTTGCCTTTCAGAGAGTAAAACAGAGGCTGATGATTCATGAAATTCACACAAATCGGAGTATCGTTAAAATCGCATCCCATGACGAGTGTAAGCCTCTGTTAATTCATCAAAAACAAAAACATCAAGACAACTTTGTGTTTTTTTAATTGGGTGACTGGATAAAACAGTCCTGATGTTATGAGTGAGATGTTATGTGAAAGTGAGCGCCGGTCCTCCGTGTGGCAACTTCTCAATGGAGCTTTTGTGTTCTTGTTGCCTGGCAGAGAAGGCCGACAAGTTGCAGCTTCAGGGATGAGTCATCATTTTGTGACATTGATAGGTTGCTACGATGAACAACCAATGTATTTACGCTACACTAATGGAGAAAAAGACATATTTTTGTTGCCTTTGCTAATTTTAACCTCTCTATTTTATTTACTATTTACTGCTATGTTATTTGCCTCAATATATACTTAAAACAAATCTACTTATGCGGTCATTTAATGGGTTTGTACATTTTTTATCCGAAGGTTTAAAATGCTTTGTTTGGGCATTTTTTAATTCTAATGGATTTAATAGTTTTTTTAAGCCAGAGGTTAAACAAAACAGTTCAATATTTGCAGAGTTTTTTATTACTTACTAGTTTTAGAAAAGTTTCCGCATCAATATTCATTAATAGTCATGCAAATGAATAATACTGTTCTGGATGTTGGAATCATGTTCTGATAAATGATAATATTGTCTTATAAACAGAGGCGAACTGTGTTAGTGGTAGAATAGAACTTCTCCAAAGGGTAAAATTGTAATTTATGAGGTGAAACTTAATGACGGTCATTGAACTTACCAGCTGTAATAGAGGCCAAGCGGACGTAGTCGTAATCCTTGTGCACTGTCTGGTAGGGATAACGCTCCACCAGGTTGAGCCCTGAAAGAATAATAGAAACATTAGTCCGCCATTAGCAGCCTGATCTCCAAAACCTGTTCGTAAAAATGTATAAGACAATCTTGAACATACAAATTCGTAGTGATACATACGAAATAAATTCGGACTGCAACCAATGACGTCACCCTATTCAAAGTGAATGGGGACCTGCACCCGTAAACACACTTGTTGTGAAGTCTAACGATGTAAAATAAACGTGTTATGAGTGCATTTTAAACAAGAAATCAATGTTATCTTGTAAGAATAGAATACTAACCCTGACCCCCTCAAAAAATCCAACATGGCGGAGAGACGTTCACTCAAGAATCCGACATGGTCCACCATGTTGTTCACTCAAGGGGCGTGGTTAACCACCGCCAGTTAGTATGTATTGTTACGAATTTGTATGTTCAAGATTTTTGTATACATTTTTACGAACGGGTTTTGGAGATCACTGGACATTAGTGTTGTCACATCACAATTCATTTCAACTACATCAAACAATAAGGATCTTTTTTTCTATTCGACCCCTTGAAACTCCAATCAACTAAATCATTATTATTTACCTTTGGTTCCTTAACTACTGAATGAGAATGGATCGACAGTTTGAGCAGTAAATGCAAGGGCTATTTACTGTGTACTGACCATGAATGATGGACTGATGAAGGCTCCAGTAGATGCTCAAGCAGTTCTTCTCCTTCTTCATGCCCCGTTTGCACTGGCAGCCGTGCAAGGGGCTGGACAGCAGGGCGGACACCGCATTGGCACACTGGCTCCTGGCGCCGGGCCCCAGCTTCACGCTGCCGTTGCCGGCCACACACTGCCGCAGAGTCCTCAGACGCGGACTGCAGGTCTCATCGCTCGAGCAGGAGTCTCCGGCCACCAAGCAGTCTCTGCCGGCCAGTACGACCTCCAATAGAGCTGCGAGACAGAGCGTCAGAGATTCAGAGATATACATAATTTGTTTTTTCAACCTTGACTTTATGAACGTAATTTCTATGTGACCTTTTCCTGTGAATTTCCCCATTGTGGGACTACAGTGCATCCATAAAGTATTCATAGCGCTTCACTTTTTCCACATTTTGTCATGTTACAGCCTTATTCCAAAATGGATTAAATTAATTATTTTCCTCAACATTCTACACACAACAACCCATAATGACAAAGTGAAAACAATTTTTTTTTTTTCAGTTTTTTGCAAATTTTTGCAAATCTGTTAAAAATAAAGAACGAAAACATGGTGCATACTGTTTCCACTGATCACTTTAGACTTTGGTTTGAGCTATGAAACTATTTTATGGTGTTAACTGCATGTGAGTGGCAGACTTATACAAATGCTAAACCATTCTCTCATTTACTCTGACAGGCTCACAGTATCATTAGTAGCTTTGACCCCTTCAGTTCATCTGCAAGTCTATTCAGTGAGCCAGAGAACTTGAGTATGGCACACGTGTGTGTGTGTGTGTGTGTGTGTGTGTGTGTGTGTGTGTGTGTGTGTGTGTGTGTGTGTGTGTGTGTGTGTGTGTGTGTGTGTGTGTGTGTGTGTGTGTGTGTCTTAGAGAACAATGGAAAAGTCCATTTATTAAACTCGATCCTGGTGAGCCAACGTAACAGCCGGTGAGATGGGAGCTTGTGCCTCGATGGCGGAATAGTACTTTTGGTAAACATTTGAGATGAAAATGAAATGTATGTTATGTTTTGTACTGGTCATTGTAAGTAAAGTAGTGGAAATACATTATGAGTTCATTGTATTATATGTAATTAACTGCACTGGCTTTCATATCCTGCCGTGTGTCTTGAATTTGAGTCGAGTTGTCCCGGGCAACGTTTGTTTGGGGGCACAAAGCTCGGGTGCACACACTCGTAGAGACAGAAATGTGATTACGTTGAAGCAACAAAAGAACTGGGTTGAGTTGGAGAAAGATTTCTGTAACAACAGAGAACAGGAAGTGTCCTGCTGAATGATAAAAAAAAAGACTCAGCTGGTAATGATGATGTGCAGCGATACGAGCTCTTACTAAAAGATAATTATATGCATGAAGATGTAGACCCGAGGCACAATAATGACAACAATTAGCAGTGTAACTTTTTCGTTGCCATGATTTTTGTCGTAGAGCCCTGCTAGAGGTAATTGCTGCGGAGAGGAATTTTTAAAAAGAGATGCCATTTACAGTCTTTCTGTCTCTCTCTTTTAGTTTGTTTTGTAGTATACATTCACTGAAAAGACAGACACTTTCTTTTTCAGCCTTGCTGTGAAGTATCATAGAACCAACTGGTGCTATTGATATTCAAGAGTGGTCTTTAGGCTTTAAGCATCTTTGCTGTTTTTACATTAGTTTTCTCTGGCTATTCTACTGAGAATATTCCTAAGTATCACCCGCAATAAGCCATTAAGACCCCTCTGATTCAAACGCTTTAAACTAATATCACCTCAGTTTTCCACCGTGATGTGCTCTTTATGTTGATTCAAAAATATCCATTTCATGCTGCTTACATCCGCTTACACTCAAGATATTTCTTTACTCAAACCGCACCGGTGAATTGCGTCTCCCTCACATGAGGAGATATTGAAGCTATCATCGTCAATGCCAGCTACGTGCATCCAATGCAGACGTGGGAAATAAATAAATAAACCAACAGCAATGTCTGACCCAAGGCCAGATGGTCGGTCGCAGATTTGAGGCAAAGTTTCCAGGTCCGTCCTGCTATGTGTGGCAGTTTGTGCTGCCTGGGCAGAAGCTGGAATAGACACCATACATCATGAATGCAAATGAGCAGCTTGATTTGACATTTCCAATAAGACCGTCTCTATGTACCAGTGGGTTTAGCCAATTAACCATGTCAGTAATCAATGTGTTCCGAGGCACGGTTAAGTCCTCAGCTTCCCTGCCACATAAATCACTGGCAGATTAGCTGATCAGTTACCCTTGCACGACGACTTAATGGTCCACTTCAGGGGAGACAAAATGGAAAATGAAACTTAATGAAGTCGAATGGAATGTAACCCTAACTCCTCTACACCTACAAAGCAGTGGAAAATTGTAATTTATTGGTGCACTTAATAGGTATCACCTCTTTTTCAGTGCTCTTGAAAGCTACAAAATTCAGCAGTTTGATTGCCGCTCATTGGCTCCCAACTTGGCAAGATGGTGACTAATCCCCAACGGTGCAATCGGCCTGATGGAGCTAAAAGTGTTAAGCCGTTATGTTGATTGTTTGATTTAAACTAGCACCCTCCTTTTAAATCACCTTTAGAATCTAAACACTTCTGAATTTCTACATCTTAAAAGATATATATTTGGTCATGGGTGTTGTACTTCTAACGCTAGTTGGCTTCCTTCATTTCATTTTGCCACCAAATTGCCAAATTTGCCACTGATGCTTTCTAGGCTTATGAAGCAATATACACAGTCAAATAAGCTTTAAAAAAAATCTCCCTTTCTGAATTTGTATTGTTTTGAATTATTAACATGAGCCAAAAAAAGGTGCTATAAGACGGCAAAGACCTTTTTAGAATGGTAAATGTGCTTCAGTATTTTAATTCACATAATTCACTTAAAAGTCATTAAATGTAAAGGGTTAGAAGTCACGCACTTAAAGAAAATCCAAGTGAATATTACATTTGGCTTATTTCTTATTGCTCTCCTGCTGGTCACACTAAGATCCTGAATTATAACACTTTTACCTTGAGAGAAAAGGGAAGTTCATGATATTGGGAAAGCAAAGTTATCCCTTTGTGTCCTATTCACGTTGTGTGCTTTATAAGTGACAATCTACAAAAGCTCTATATTTATATGAATGGTAGGATTAAAAGGAAACAGTTCTACCAGTGTCATTTTAGCAGACATTTAGCCTATCATTTTATAAGACAAATGTTGTCTGATACTCTGAAGGACACAATATTGTTTGCTTTTTAGGGGACAAAATTAGATTTTTCAGATATCAAAGCAGAGAAGATTGAATTTGGAAAACCGAGAAGGAAAATACTCATCTTCATTAAATATAAAACATTATCAGCTTCATATTAAAAATCAAACAAAAAGTGCACAAAGACCTAGAAAAGCCCAGTAATTTAACTTCAAAGTAGTGAAAGGAGAAACACTTCAATCATACAATGTTACACACAAAAACTATTTTTCTTTCTAAATCAGTTAATCCTCGTCCAACGATGGGTATTTTGAAGCTGTACGAAGAGAAATTGGCATATATGCCATATTCATTTTTTATCTTGAACACAGAAGACAGAAACAGTTGTCACATCATTAAAGAATCTCAGCAACAACAGCTTAACGATGCGTACATTAAAGGATATTATGGGCAATGATTGGATATGAAGTTGGCATCTGCCACCAAATACAGTCAAATGTTGGCTTTTGCAGATTTGAAAAAAAATCTTTCAATTCACCTGTCTCGATGGAAGATCCTATTTCTTTACCTTTATAATAAGAAAATTGTGTAAAAAACACTTCTTTAATTACATATAGTAGAGACATCTAGGTGGCATGCTGTGTTCCACGTTTCTTCCATCTGGCTCCGTCGTCTCGGTGGCAGAAAAAACTATTGAGACTGCACGACCACAATTACACACGTCTTCAAGTATGAGAAATACAGTGCTGAAATCACAAGGCAGGAAACACAATCTAAAGCAGGTGGTCACAGTTTGAGTAAAAAAGACTAAAATCTCTTGTGATGACCTCATGACGCAGATGAACTACACACTTATCTATCTTTTCATAAGGCCAAATATATTACCTTCAAATCATCATCCTGATTTTGACACTATTTAGGACTGATTTCTATCATATTTGTCTCTCAGAGCTTCTTCTACCGCTAATTCCAACCCGACTGCTGTCGCTTTAGAATTAAAACTGGTCTTTTCCGTCTTGCAGGGAGTAATCGAAGAAGGTTACCACCGGTAACTATACGGCTTTAGCCACATCAAACATTACTGATTACTGAATTTTAAAGATTCCAACTTTGATTCAGACGTGACGATGCAGAGAACCCTACAGAACCACAGTCAGGTGTTTTTAAGACTTGGTACTAAAATGTATTAACACAGGGGTGTTTTCTTTTCAAAAGTGCATCTCTCTCTCCTCCTTTTTTTTGTGTGTCTGTTGTAATGCTTGAATTTCACATTCTCTCCGTGCAGTTTGAAAAGCCCCCACAAACATACAAATTGATCCCATAATGCAAAAGGCCGCCGTCTGGAGGGAGCGAATTGTAAACAAAGGATTACATGTGAGCACACCGGAGATGGATGTTGGTTGTTGACTCGAACCGCTGCTTCACCTGAGCACCTCTGTCCGTGTGTGTGAGTATGTTCTCATTGTGTTTGTCCCTTTTTGAAAACCCGTTTAAGCTTTAGTTTGTAAATGACAACGTTTCCAAAGGCGGTGCAGGTGGGCGGTTAAGGAGTTTGGGATTTGAAGGAGCACGAACTAATTCACGACATTAATCAGTCTCTTATCGGCGGCAGCTTGGACGGGACTTTGGCGTCGGGGTTCAGTTAAAGGAGCATTCAGAAAAAACGATGATTCATTGTTGCACTTTAGTTCTCGTCCAATTCTGGTTGAAACAGACTTGTTGAAGAGAAGTAAATATAAAGGTATACAGACAGACCATTTGTGGCAGGTTTTGAGAGTTTTTCCTGCATAATTTGCTGGGAAATCCCGTCTGGTGACTGACAGAAGTTCATGCAGCACTCTAAAAAATGCTGCAGCTTTTATAGCCAGGAAATGTCTATTCTTATAGCACATTATGATATCAACACGATATCTAGTCTCATAACACGATATCAACATAAATAGCAGGACCGGAAACTAATAAAGTAGTAGATTGAATCAAACTTACAATATCAAGTGTTTTCACCTGTAGTACATTACCAACGGCCCATTTCTAAACTCCTAATTGATTTTGTC